ACTCAAAGACAACCATGTAAGGTAGCTCGTCGTGTTCTGTCCTACGATGCCTTTCCAATAACAACATTATTAGGGATGGAGCATTTCAGGCGGCTCGATCAAGTGCATTGTACGATGCATTTGTATTCAGAAAATCATATTTTCCGTCCAACGCTTACGCAAAAAGACGAAAGTGAAGTAGATGATGCAACACGTCGACTGTTATGAATCAGTTCAGTTTCAGGTCACGTTCGGCATTTGGAAGGAACGCAAAATTGTAGCTCGTCGAGTTGCATCATTCAGCGCCCATAGGTTTGCAATTTTATTTTGGCTTCCCAAACATAGTTCACATTAGTCAAATGACCCGTTTGGTGTATTTTTTTTGCGGCCTTAAGCAGTGCATCTGTTGTTTCATCCCGCTTATTAGGTCAAATGATCAACCAAGAAAAATATTTGAATCATCTGAATGAAATGTAGCATGCCGATCTAGAAATTCGCATTTTCAGTTCAGAAGACAAAAAGGATCAGAGAAGTGAAGCAGATGATGTTGCACGGCCAGGTTGATCACGCGGTGTAATTTGATGTCGATGCTCGCATTGAAATTGAAAAGAACAATTCGTTCACTCAAAGCTAAACATGAGATGTGTTGATCTTTTGATCTGAAATGGCGGATCACACATCAGATGCACTGCTTAAGCCCGAACACAAAAATACGTCGGGCGGTTAATTTCAGTAATCCGAACAATTTTCAGGCGGAAAAACGAATTGCCAATCGATGGGCACTGCGCGATTCAACTCGACGAGGTACAATTTGGCATTCCTTCCAAAGGCCGAATGTGACATCAAACTGACCTCATTTATAGCAATCGTCGAATTCCATAATCTACTTCACTTTTGTGATTCTCTGTACGCGTTGGACGGAAAATATGATTTTCTGGATGCAAATGCAACGTTGAATGCACCTGACAGAACCACCTGGATTGCATCATCCCCATTGATGTTTTGTTTCAAAATGCGCCATCGACAGAACTGGAATACCAAAACAACATGGTTGACTTTGAGTGAACGAATTGTTCTTTTCAATTGCAATGCGCGGCTCGTAATACAATTTCACCGCGTGATGAACCTGGTCGTGCACCACCATCTACTTCACTTCTCTGATCCTTCTTGTCTTCTGAACCGAAATTGCGATTTTCGAGATCAGCTTGCTACACTTCATCGATGTAAATCAAATATTTTTCTTCGTTTAGCTTTTCCGTGGAGTGCGGGATCACATGCCAGATGCATTGCTTGAGGCCGCACACAAAAATACATCACACGGTTCACTTGATAAATCCGAAATATGTCCACGAATCAAAAAGGAAATCGATAATCAATGGGCACTGAGCAAACCAACCCGACGAGCTGCAATTTGGCGTTCCTTTCAAAGGCCGAACGTGACCTGAAACTGAATTGATATGAAAAAATAGGGGAGTCCAATCATCCACGTCACTTTCGTGATTTTCCGAATCCGTTGGACGGAAAATATGATTTACTGAATCTAAATTCATCGTACAATACACTTCACCAAGCCGCCTGAAATGCTTCATCCCTAGTGATGTTTTGACGAGAAATGCACCATAGGATACAACTCCACGAAATACATCACATGCTTGACTTTCAGCGAACAAATTGTTTCTTTCAATTTCAATGCGAGCATCGACATAAAGTTGCAACGCGTGACGAACCTGGTCAAGCAGCACCAACTGCTTCATTTCTCTAGCTCTTAATGTCTTCAGATTCGAAAATGCGATTTTCGAGATCGGCCTGCTACAATTCATCCAGACAATTCAAATATATTTTTCTTGGTTCATCTTTTGACCTGAATCTGACCTGATTACACATCAGATGCACTGCTTGAGGCCGCACACAAAAATACATCAGACGGTTCATTTGAGTAATGCTAACTATGTTTCGGAAGGAAAAAATAAATTGAGAAACGACGCAAATTGTGTGAATCAACTCGACAAGGTAAAATTCTGCGTTCCTCCCACATGCTGAAAATGACCTGAAACTGAACTGTTTGATAACAATCGCCGAGTTCGATCATCTGCTTCACTTTCTTATTTTTGCGTAAGCGTTGGACGTAAAATATGATTTTCTAGATACAAGTGCATCGTACAATACACTTAACCGAGCCGCCTGAAATGCTACATCCCTACTGATGTTTTGATCAGAAATCCACCATAAGAAAGAACTCGACGAGCTACATCACATGATTGAGTTTGAGGGAACACATTGTTCTTTTCAATAGCAATGCGAGGATCGACTTAAAATGGCACCACCTGATGAACCCGGTCGTGCAGCACCAAGTGCTTCACCACTGTAGTCTTTGTCTTCTGAACGGAAATTGCGATTTTGGAGATCGGCGTGATACATTTCAGCCAGACAATTCAAATTTCTCTTGGTTGATCTTTTGACCTCAATCTGACACGTGCATACATCAGGTGCACTGCTTGAGGCCGCGCACACACAAATACATCGGATGGTTCATTTGAGTAATCCGAACTACGTTTTGGAAGGAAAAGAGAAATTACAAGTCGATTGGCACTGTTCGAATCAGCTCCACGAGCCACAGTCGTGCGTTCCATCCATAGACCGAACGTGACCTGAAACTTAACTGATTTATAAGACGGGTTACATCCCATCATCTGCTTCACTTTCGTCTTTTTTCATATCCGTTGGACGAAAAATATGATTTACTGAATGGAAATGCATCGTACAATACACTTGACCAAGCCACCTGAAATGCTACATCCCCACTGATGTTTTGATCAGAAAAGCACCATAGGAGAGAACTCGACGAGCTTCATCACATGATTGAGTATAAGTGAACAAATTGTCCTTTCAATTTCAATGCGAGTGTCGGCATAAAATTGCACCGCATGATGAACCTGATCGTGCAGCACCAACTGTTTCACTAATATGATCCCTCTTGTTATCTGAACCGAAAATGCGATTTTCGACATCGGCGTGATACACTTCATCCACATGATTCTAATATGTTTCTTGGTTGATCTTTTGACGTGAAACTGACTTGATCACACATCAAATGCACTGTTTGAGGCCGCACACAGCAAAACTTCAGACGGTTCATTTGATGAATCGAAATTTTGTTTCGGAAGGAAAAATTAAATTGCAAATCGATGGGCCCTGTGCGAATCAACTCGACGATCTACAATTCTGGGTTTCATCCATACGCCGAACGTGACCTAAAACTGAACTGATTTACAACAATTGCCGAGTTCCGTCATCTAATTCACATTCGTGTTATTCCGTATGCGTTGGACGGAAAATATGATTTCTTCATCCAAATGCATTGCGCAATAAAATTGACGGAGCTGTTTCAAGTGCTTCATCGCTTCTGATGTATTGATCAGAAATGCACCATAGCACAGAACACGACGAGCCACATGATATAGTTGAGGTTGAGCGAAAAAATTGTTCTTTTCAATTTCAATGCGAGCATCGACATAAAATTTCACCGCGTGATGAATCTGGTCGTGCAGCACCATCTGGTTTGCTTCTCTGATCCTTGTTTTCTGAACCGAAAACTGCGATTTTCGAGATCGGCGTGATACACTTCATCCAGATGATCATCATCTACTTCACTTTCGTGTTTTTCCGTATCCGTTCGCAGAGAATATGTTTTCTGCACCCAACTGCATCGTACAATACACGTGACCGAGCCACGTGAAATGCTTTATTCCTAGTGATATTTTGATGAGAAATGCACCATAGAACAGAACTCGACGAGCTACATCACATGGTGGACTTTGAGTGAATGAATTGTTCTTTACAAGTGCAATGCAAATATCGACATCAAATATCATCGCGTGATGAACCTGGTCGTGCAGCACGACCTGCTTCACTTCTCTCGTCCTTCTTGTCTTCTGAACTGATAATGCGATTTTCGAGATCGGCGTGATACACATGATCCAGATGATTCAAATGTTTTTCTTGGTTGTTCTTTTGACCTGAATCTGACCCTATCCCACATCAGATGCGCTGCTTGAGGCCGCACACATAAATACAGCAGACGGTTCATTTGAGTAATCCGAACTATGTTACGGAAGGCAAAATAATTGTAAATCGATGAGCGGTGGGTGAAAGAACTCGACCAGCTGCAATTCTGCCTTCCTTCCAATAGCCGAACGTGACCTGAAACTGAACTGATTTATAACAATGGTCGAATTCCATCACCTTTTTCACTTTCGTGTTTTTTCCGTATCCGTTGGACGGAAAATATGATTCTCTGTATCCAAATGCATCGTGCAATATACTTGACCGAGCTGCCTGAAATGCTTTATCCCTACTGATGTTTTCATAAAAAAGCACCTTGGGAAAGAACTCAACGAGCTACATGACACGGTTGACTCTGAGTGAATAAATTGTTCTTTACAACTGCAATGCAACAATCGACGTAAAATCGATGGGACTGCGAGAAATAACTCGACGACGCATCAAATGCGTCTGATGTGTGATCACCTCAGATTCAGCTCCAAAGGTCAACCAAGAACAATTTTTGATTCGTCTGCTTGAAGTGTAGCACTCCGATCTTCGATATTGCGTTCACCGTTCAGCAGAAAATGAGGATCAGTCATATGATGCAGGTGCTGCACGACCAGGTTCAACACGCGGTGCACTTTGATGTCGTTCCTTGCAATGCAATTTAAAAGCACAATTTGTTCAATGAAAGACAACCATGTGATGTAGCACTTCGTGTTTTGTTCTACGGTGCATTTCTAATCAACATGTCAGTAGGCAGTAAGCAAAATTGTAGCTCGTCGAGTTGAATCGATATGAAATTTATTTTAACGTGACGAAAATAGTTCGGATTACTGACATGAACCGTCTGATATAATTTTATGTGCGGCCTCAAGCAGTGCATCTGATGTGTGATCAGTTCAGATTCAGGTAAAAAGATAAACCAAGGAAAGTATTTGAATCATCTGAATCGAGTGTATCACGCCGATCTCGAAAATCGCATTTTCGGTTCAGAAGACTAGAAGGATCAGTGTAGTCAAGCAGCTGGTTTTGTACGACCAGGTTCATAACGCGGTGCAATTTGATGTCGATCCTCGCAGTGCAATTGAAAAGAACAATGTGTTCACTCAAAGCAACCATGTGATGTAGCTCGTCGAATTCTGTCCTATGGTGCATTTCTGATCAGCACATCAGTAGGGATGAAGAATTTCCGGCAGCTCGGTCAAGTTTATTGAACGATGAACGTGGATCCAGAACATCATATTTTCCGTCAAACGGATATGGAAAAACACGGAATTGAAGTAGATGATGGAACTCGACGGTTGCTGAAAATCAGTTCAGTTTTAGGTCACGTTCGGCATTTGAAAAGCGTAAAATTGTAGCTCGTCGATTTGATTCTCACAGTGCCCATCAATTTGCTATTTCATTTTCCTATCCTAACAGATGTTCGGATCACTGAAATGAACCGTCTGATGTATTATTGTGTGCGGCCCCAAGCACTGCATCTGATGTGTGATCAGGTCAGATTCAGGTCAACAGATCAACCGAGAAAAATATGTGAATCATCGAGATCAGGTGTATTATGCCGATGTCCAAAATTGCACATTCGGTTCAGAACACAATAAGGATCAAAGAAGAGAAGCAGATGATGCTGCACGACCAGGTTCATCACGCGGTGCAATTTTATGTCGATCCTCGCATTGCATTTCAACAGAACAATTTCTTCACTCAAAGTCCACCATGTGTTGTAGCTCGTCGAGTTCTGTTCTATGATGCATTTCTGATCAAAACATCAGTAGGGATGAACCTTTCAGGCGGTTCGTTCAGGTGTATTCTGCGAAGAATTTAGGTGCAGAAAATCATATTTTCCGTCCAACGGATACGAAAAACGGAAGCGAAGCAGATGATGGAACTCGTCGATTGTTATGAATCAGTTCAATTTCAAGTCGCGTTCGGCATGTGAATGAAACGCTAAACTGTTGCTCGTCGATAAATTCGCACAGTGCAGATCGATTCGCTATTTCAATTTACGCACCTGGACATAGTTCGAAGTACTCCAATGTATCGTGTG